CGCTCGCCCCATTGGAAAACAATAAAGATCGATCAATCAATAAACGAGTTAAATAAACCAGAATTTCAAGTCAGGTTTCCTTGGATTTCCTTACACATTGATTCCGGGCCATGGGTAGAACAACATAATCTATGGCGCATTTTCTGTGAATCAGTATTTCAGGGAAAGGATAATGAGTCGAACTCTATTGTAAGACAATAAATCATTATTTCCACGCACACACACACACACACGCATCGCTGTCTGTATCTGAGTGTAACTGCTAAAACGCGGCTCAGTACAGTCGACGATCTCAGTTTCCATATGTGACACCCCACTAATAAACTCCCTTATCTGTTTTCTGTTTCTCTCGATATAAACCGAACTAAAAACACCACCCGGTTCGGGATTTACGTGTTCTGCCCTCGTTTACTGTTTACCCTGCACCGGTACCCCTATCCCCCGCGGGAAAAAACGCACATTTCTGTCATGGCATGTTTATGTTTTGTGCGTGTGTTCACACATTTGTGTTTTGTTAAATCCGTTCACTGATTGGGTGTCGGTTTGACAAAAAAAACCAAAATCACGTGATTTGTCGTCTGTGTTCGCACCGGATTGATTTATTTGTTTCAAACGGCCATTTTTTTCACCGGGTTGTCTATCGTTTTTTCATTTTTTGTCTGCATTGTTTATTTTTTGGTTCCGGTGTTAATTGTTTTCTTCTTTTTCATTGAATTTGTTTGTATATTCATTTTAAAAAAACAATGGTTTGTTTCATTACTGTTCGTTATCGCACCTGAATTGCACCTGATCGTTTGTGCGTGATACGTCACCCTGAATGAACTCATCGGTTTTCGCATACTTCCATTCGAATATCGTTGTTGTTGTTGTTCTTGTTGTTTTCGTGTTGGCTCCTCGTGTTTCTGTGTCTGCGTTACAATATCCGTTTCCACCGTTATCCACCATGTGTGTATGTGTACCCGTGTGCGCGCGTGCGTGCGTGCGCGCGTGCGTGCGTATCTCAGTCATTCATACGTCGTAATCAACAATGGCAACAGCACAGTCAACAACGTCAACGTGAAATGCACGCTATTCGCAGAGCATCTGTGGTGAACTCATCGAGCATGCCTAGCTGACCCCACCTCCGACGCGCTCGCGCGCGCGCGCACACACACTTAGTCAGGGTGATTGTATCCAATACCACCACCCAGGTGAGTGGTGAGTCAATTACCCCACCCCCACCCTCAGAAGGTATTTGGACCCTCACAACAACCAGTTTTCGAAATCTCGGGGTGAGGGGTGAGGGGTGAGGGGTGAGGGCTATTCTGGACATACATATCTGTATCTATCTGTAGGTGTGTGCTATTTTAAAGCATCATGGCGTTGTCATGCCTAGCACACCATGGATCAGAAATCATTTCACCCTCTTCATGACAGATTCACCTGTGAAACAGCCCTTGACATACAAATACAAAATCGAATAATTCTGACCAAATCGACCGTATTATTAATTGATTGACTGAACTTTAGCATGCACAACCCATGCATTTGATTCCGAGGGAGGCTAGGACCTCTTCGATGTGGTCGAATAGTACTGGTCAAAAGAAAAACCGCACACGAGTTGTGATTTAACGGGTTAGCGGTTTGGCATTCAAGTTTTCGTTTGCTTTCGATTTTTCCATTCCCTTACATATCCGAAACAAACCAGATCGGGAATGTCTGTTCGGATAGTACCGGTGCGGCAAACGGTTGACGTTGCGCGCGGTACAGACCGAATTCTGAGAGAGATTGAGGGCGAGGAAGAGGCTGTGACCACTTACACGTTTCGATCTTCCAATTATATACATACGTACATATAAACATTCAGGGACATTCCAATGAAACAAACAGTGCATGTTCTGAGCAACGCATTTGGTACAATCAATGTCTCTATTTCTCTCACCTGGTTCGCTCCATGGTCGTGCTTTCTCTTCAGAGCATGCCAGTCATTTGCATCATCTGCGTCATGTGATTGATTCGTGACAAATCAATTTGACAAGCGGTTGCTTTCACAAATGTCACTAATAGTGCAATGCCAACATCTCTATCATATTTTATTATTTTAGCAAACGGCCCTGAAACAATTTCCGATTCATCAACATCATCCGAGTCATCATCATCATCATCATCATCCGAATCATCATCATCCGAATCATCATCATCATCATCGTCGTCATCATCATCTACTTGAGGACAGAAGTTAAGCGCGATAAATATGCACCATCCAAGGAGTCAATAGTGAAGACGAATCTAATCCCGTCCAAGGCGACTGTCGCGAACGTAGTACCACGTATCGCGGGGCTAATCACAGTGGCTTCAAAGGCAGTAAATCAGTACTACGTGAAAGTGTAACGCAAACAACGGAATTCTTTGTGTGATCATCAAATACTATCCACTTACCCTTTAATGCGTAGCTAATTCTAAACAAAATTATTTAAAACAATAATTCATTCTTCGATGTGGACACCTAATGCTACAAAATAAATCAGCTTTCTTCGATCACAACGAGCCCTAGATATATTCGTTCCATTCAGTATGCACGCAGCATCCATTGCAATGTTTAGCCGCGTTCTTTTATGGTGGTGGTGGTGGTGGAAAGACATCAAGGTTGTTCCACATTGGTCGGTAATTTGGTTCGTTCACTTGTTGAGTAGAAGGAAGGGATCAGCGACCGAAGGCCCCCGATCACAGCGTTGCTCGTCCGCAGCCGCCTCCTAATTGGGGCGCTGTGGAGTGTGTGCGTGCGCGTTGGTGTGTGTGTGTGTGTGTGTGTGCATGCATGCGCGTTGGTGTGTGTGTGTGCATGCATTTGAGTGGTCAAATTGGAGAATGAATATCCTTGGATCACGTGACTCGGCCAGTCGGTGTCCAGCCCAGCATGGGATGTGCTCCTGGGTGCTCCAAGTTCACATTTAAACTGGTAAATGACGTGTGTTTGATTTGGTGGACAGTGGCCGGGGGCTGCTTTGTGCCTGGAGTGCGAATACAAATGCGTGTAGTTGTGTACAGGACTATTCGGTAGCAAGATCGAAAGTGCGTTTTAGTCCATTTTTCAACTGGCCTTTTATGCCTGGACCTAAATTGTGCCCACCCAGTTTTGGAGTGTGGTTCAAGTTTATCTCGAAGGAAATACTGTCTGTTGTCAATTTGATCGTCTCGCTATCGTTTAATACGAACAGCAGGTATATCGTTTGCCCAACTAATGGGGTTAAAAGGTGAAATGTTTTGAATTACACACTTTCGTGTGTTACGCAGCCGACAGGTGTTAAGCCCCATAGTCACGAGAACCTGCTGTTCCGTGATGGGAACCGGGAACCCGAAGCCCTCACTTGAACCATGTAAGAGGTCGTATAGAATCGGATGACGACGAAGCCGACTACCATCAAAGTTGGTTATCGTTGTCGGGATTAGAACACCGGTTTCTAGGGCTCAAAGCACGTCGGTGACAACAACTAAACCACTGCACCACCACCACCACCACCCTTGATGACATACTCGATGACATAACTCATTTCCTCCAAATAATAAAGGTTCGGTTCTTGTTGGCATTATTGAAAAATGTTTTTCTCAATTGATTGAAAACACTGGCCTAATTATGCATACACCTAATTCATTATTCAGTGTAGATAATAATTGTTACAGAAAGTCTCCAACCATGCACTTAAAATTTTTTTTATGATTAAACTGCAGTATTTTGGCACGAGGAAAAAAATTCAGTCACTGACTGCAACACACAACCGAACATTGTGGGCTGGAAAGATCAGACCTAGTTCTTTCTAAACAGATGCCCAGATTAGATACACTCCAGAACATCTGCATTAATAGATACTCTTGCTTGGAAAGAAATTTTTTTGCAGCGTTCATATGCTGGTTTATTTTTTAAATTCATCTCATATGGTGCCGCGGATTGCAAACAAATACACAGACTTTCACGTTTCGAATCATTCACTTTTTGAAACATTTTTCTATTTCGTTTTCTTTTCGTAAAACTCATCTCATTCGAATGCCTCAACTTGTCCGATGATGGTTTTATCGAGTAAAACAAAGTGTACAATGGAACAGCAGCATTACTAATAATCCGTTCAAGGTTTTACATTTATTGGTGTGTTACATTCCGTTGAGTTTTGATGCGGAATTTACAAAAGTACGTAGCAGAAGGGTCTTCCCTGGTGGAAAATTTTAATATCCTTTGAATGGCTTCAAATTTAGGATCTCCGACCTGAAAGAATCTGTGAATTTACAGACTAATTTAAAATATCATACGTGAGCTACTAGTAAATGATAAAGTAAGATTAATCATTCTAATTGAGAAAGCTGATGGTATCAAGTTATGTTTATCATTTGTAGTGTCGGCGCCAGAGATAAAAGAATTTGTTGAAAAATTTGAAAGGTATGATCATGGCTGAATCGTCACATTCGTGTGTGTGTGAAGACACAGTATCGATCAATTTTGGGGAACCTATAAATTTTCGGTGCACAAATCAAATTTAGTGATCTACAATAATAACAACCAACATGGATGGTTTATTTTTCCATCAAAATATTTCAAAGTTTCTGTGCCTCAATGCATTTTGTGACTGAAAAAGAAAAACGTGTCCTCGAGGGAAAAACGTTTTTACTGTTACAAATTTTGAATACGTGATATGAAAAATAAACTTTTTCGATCAACCCTCCCCCCCCCCGCGGAAACCGGGAATTGGACAAGCAGTAGTCTGATTTCGTAGGTCAACCCAGCATGTTATTTTTCTATTGTACTGCTAGATGAACAGAGTATGAGAGACAGAGGGCGTGAGGGTAAAACTGAGGTAAGTTGTACAATTTATGCCGAGGCAGATTTAGCTGTATCTCAACTGGTTTGCAATACAGCACAAAGCACTAGTTGATAGTACTGGCCGACTCTGATGTACCAAAATATTTTCTTTCTTATCAAATTGAGTTTCATTGTACTTATCGACTGTATGAATGCTTTAAGTAAAGACAGGAATTTCTCTCTCATTTACTTCAATCTACGTAGTTTCTAGGCTGCATGATTGTCAAGTAAACGTGTCTGACCTCGATTGGCAAGATAAAAAAATCTCAACATGAAATTCGCAACTTTTGCCAAGTATAAAAACAATATATTCTAATTGGAGTGACTCAAGAATTATCCCAAATTATTTCCATAAACCTTTGCCATCTCTGTGATTGGAATGAGGCAATATTTTATCGGATATATAATCCATTATAGCAACTCTATTAAACAACCAAATGAAATTCTTCCAAAACCTGGAGAAATTGCGGTAAATAAGGTTTCATAATAATAATAATCTGTCTAATGGCTAGCTCATTGAACATGAGAAATCGCATTCGCATCAAAGTCAACTTTGAAATCAAGGTCATTTTTGTGCACAGTTTTGGATGTTTGTATTGCTGTCATCATAGTGAAGCAAGCAGCGCTCGGAACCAAAAGTTCTCGTAAGCTCCTAAATCAGCATGGTCTATACCAATCACTACCGAGGAAATGGGAGTACCCGCTACATTCTGAACCATTCCATCTGCTGAGTATAAACGATTCACGAAAGGCAATGCTATAAAGGCTTGTTTATTACTATTTAGAAAAGGAATTTACTTCAGTATAAATGCTGTTGCCTATACGAACTCACAAGCGTTTCAGAGGGATCCGTTCTTTCAGTTTCGATTAGACCTGTATATCGTTGATGCAGTACGTCACATTCACATGAATACGATAAGTAATCTAAACTCGGTCTGTCCGGTCCCAATCATCGTCCGTCGGTAGGGGAGGCCGAGCGACAGATGACACAGGGTGTGTTCGGCATCCTTGGGTAAAGATGTTGATTGAGAATAATGTGTGCATATTAGTTGTCAAATTTGAGGATGACTTTTGATCATGTGATTCGGTTAATCGGTTTGTAACCGAAAATCGGATATGCTTCTTGATTCGTGTGTATGCAACTGTCTATCTGTCTTATATCAATGTAAGATGCTCTGCATCCACATTCAAACTGGAAAATGACATGCGCGTTTTACCATATTTTTCAATCGGTTGTGAAAAATCAGACTGGCATCGTCGCCTTTGAAGAGAGGGCAAATGTCTCTGCCTTCTTCTTCGGGACGTCGTATAATGTTGGCTTTTACTCCGGCGTCCAACTGAACTTCCTAATAAAAACTGCCCGGGTAGCAATTCTAGACAATAATTGGCTGAAGTTTGTCTAATTTCGCTTAGAAACTATCCCTGGCCTAATTTGGACGTGCTGGCTAGAATAAAACTCCTACCTCCTATCGCCACACCGTCTTTCTGTCGGTAATCGTTGCTTTGCTAACTGCAGATGATGTCTGATGTGTATCGGAGCAGAAGACATTCTAGATCAGGCATCGTTTGGACAAATTTTGGCTGGTGCAGCTGATTATACTGTGGAGTGCATATTCGATTGATCGATTTGAGCTCGTTAGCACAGTGGTAACGCACACGCTCTCCATGCAATTAATCCGGAGTTCGGATCCCGGACGGAACGGTAGATATGCACTGCTGATGAGCTCCAGTAAGAGCAAAACTCGAGTCCATTAATTCCGAAGGTATGTTTGAATCGATGAACTGAGGATTGTGCGTGAAGCTCATGTTCGAATGATAGTCAGTTCAAATTAATCAATATCAATTATCCCACACCACTACTCATAAGTAACTGTGAGTTAAATGCATATTCGATTGTTTCAAGAAGCGGCACGTCAGTCAACAGTGACTGGAGTACTCCTTGGAGCGACAAGTTTATCGTTTAAGTCCTAATCCCCAAGTACTTCAACTAGTTCGAAACTATACTTGATATCAGATTTCAAAATATGCTCTCTGATTGGCTTCAACAGCTGTGCCAACCATTTCGCGAGCTTGTGTTCTTAAAAATGCACACTCACATCCTCTGACATATCAACCTTTTTCGTGTTACTCACCAATGAAAGAACAACACGACATTGCGGTTTCCTGATTTCAATCCGGTGTTATGTTTTCCCTCCTCGACGTCATTGATTAGGGCAATAAACATCGGAGATCACCAAAAGCCCGTCAAGTTGATGAGTACAGTGAAATGATTTCCACATATACTCCAGATTTGATGTTGTCCATGTCAAGTGAAAATTTAGCTTCTTCTAGACAATCTAAATTTGATGGGGTAAAAAAATTTATAAAGAGGTTT